GATGGGTCTCTTGGGAAAGATTCCTGTGGGAGAGGTGCAGCCTTACTCTAGGTCTCACTGCTGCCTCCAGCAGAGTTGGGGAGAACAGGTGCGGTGGAGGTAGGGAAACGAGAGGAAAGCACATGTTTACGGAACAGCCTGCAAGCTAGGCATTGTGCTCAGGTGTCTCCACTGCTAATTCTCAACCATCGTAACCTAGCTTGGGAGGAAGGCATTTATTTCCATTATACTGTTTATTTCACCTGAAATAGGTCTGGAAGAGTTCAGTGAGATGTTTCAGGTCACTAGGCTGCCCAAGTGGTAGATAGCCTATGTGAACTGAGGCCTCTTTGGTGAGAAAAATTTGTGTTACAAATACACTACCAGCCATGCCTGGTTGTGCATGCCTGTAATACAGCTGCCCAGGAGATAGAAACAGGAGGATGGAACAAGGCTCAAAGACAGTTCTGGCAAGTTATCAAGAGCCTATCTCTAAAATAAGCTGGGTGTAGTGGTGCATATCTGTAATCTCAACTACTTGAGAGAAGGGGCAAAGGGTGATTTTGATCCAAAGCTAGTTGTGAGAAAATCATGAAACCCTGCCTAAAAAACAAATTAAAGGAGCCGGGCGCTGGTGGCTCACGCCTGTAATCCTAGCTACTCAGGAGGCTGAGATCTGAGGATCGCGGTTCAAAGCCAGCCTGGGCAGGAGAGACCGTGAGACTCTTATCTCCAATAAACCACCAGAAAACCGGAAGTGGCACTGTAGCTCAAGTGGTAGAGCGCTCGCCTTGAGCTGAAGAGCTGAGGGACAGCGCTCAGGCCCAGAGTTCAAGCCCCATGACCGACCCAAAAAAAACCAAACAAACAAAAAAACAAATTAAAGGGTTGGGAATGTGGTTTGGTGGTAGAGTGCTTGCCTCCCATGCATGTAGTCCTGGGTTTGATTCCTCAGTACCACATACACAGAAAAAGCTGGAAGTGGTGCTGTGGCTCAAGTGGTAGAAGTGCTAACTTTAAGCAAAAGAAGCTCCAGGACAGTGCCCAGGCCCTGTGTTCAAGCCCCAGGACTAGCAAAAAAAAAAAAAAAAGAAATTAAGAACAAAAAGGACTTGGAATTATGGCTCAAATGGCACAGTGCTTGCTTAGCAACATGAGGCTTTATATTCATTCCCTAATTCAGCAAAGACCAACCAACCAGCCAACAGAATGCATCACCAAATGTATATATTAAAATGTCTTCTTATTTCAAGGCTGCTCAGTTCTAATACCTGGATCCATTGCTATCAGGACTAAGCGCCATCACCACTGTCATTATCACCGTCACTATCATCACCATTATTCCTGTCACCATCACCACACTATCTCTACCATTATCATCACCGCCACCGTCATAATTATTATCGATACTATGACCACCATCACCATCACCAGTATCATCACCTGTGCATCTTCCTCAGTGGCTTTCTCTCCTTGCCCACCTTTCTTCCTAAAGCAGCACATAGGTGTGTGGGGGCAGGTAAGAGGAGTGACTCAGTGAGCTGAGGTAGTGGCCTTAGGCAGCTGGGGAAGGGTGGTAATAGGTCTTGTACTCAGCCAGGCTGTTGCTTTGAGTATTCAGAAGCTCTAACCTTCCTCATAAGTCATACCTGGTCCAGGATGGCTAAAGCTTTAATACCTGGAACTTCCAGCCTTCCCTCTTTGGCCCAGTCTAGCTCGCGAATGAATCAGAGACCTGACTTTTATTTTATATTGCCCAAAAAGTAAATTAGAGTGTTGTTTACCTCTAAATACTAGTCAGAGGGCTTGAGTTAACATCAGGTTCCAGCACTACCATTTAGTGAGCAGAAGATACATTCCTTAAACTTAAGGGAATCTGTTGCCTTCCTTATCTCTCCTCAACCTGCATTAGTAGACTGTTGTATGAATAGGTAGGAAGAACCAGGTAGACTAGGAATTGGAGTGGGGATATATTACATGATACTCACGCAAAACTTTTGATAGTGCCTGGTAAGTAGAACGTTCTCAAGAAATGGAATTAGATAATGATGATGACAAAATGTCAGTCTTCTCCCTCCTCCTCTTTCTCTTCCTTCTCTTCTTCTCTTTTAGGGCTGATATTGGGACTTGAACTCAAAGCCCTGGCACTGTCCCTTAGCTATTTTGCTCAAGGCTGGTGTTCTACCATTTGATCCCCAGCTCTACTTTTGGCTTTCTGGGGGTTAATTGAAGATAGGAGTCTTGTGAATTTTCCTGCCTGAGCTGACTTCTATCTGTGAGCCTCAGATCTCAGCCTCCAGAGTAGCCAGGATTACAAGTTCAAGACTCCAGAGCATGTCAAAAATGTCAGTCTTCTTTTTCCCTGATCACAGGTCAGAAAGTTCCTTTATGTTTTTCTTGGTTGCTTCATTGGGGATCTCAAAGCAATTTGCATGTTCCTTTTGTTTCCTCTTGGAGGTAGAGAAAACAGAAGGGGTGAGAGACCCAAAGGACTCTGCAGGTGAAAAGCAGTCAAGGCTGGGTCCCCCCAGGTCCTTCATGGCCCTCCGCCCTCTGCCCCAAGCTGTCCTTTGCTGTGGTTTCCAGGGATGGCCTGGCTTCAGCCTAGAGCTGAGCCAGCTGTGGTGGTTTTTTTTCTACTTTTGGGGGCCATGTCTCCCCTGCAACTAAAGTCAAAGCTCCAAACATCAGGGCAAAAGAAAGGGGGTGGGGTGGGGGGAGGGAAAGAAGCAAGCTGATAATTTCCTCGAAGGATAAACATCCGATTTTTTTTTCCCTTACTCAAAATAAACACACTGGCCACAAGGAATTAAAAGCAGAAGAGGGAGGATATGTCTGGATTCGGGGGTGTTTTAAGCAAGCTGACCTTCTATTTATCCTGGCACCGTGCACCAGCCGGAGCTGCCAGTTACACCATGCACTGGGTGGGGTGTGAGCAGTGGAGGAAAGTCCCAGGGGATAGGGGACCCAAACAGTTTCTTCCAAGGCTTCCTTCCATGACAGTGTAAATGGGATCCTTGCTGTTGCTTCTTTGAGCTCTCTTTGCAGGCTTTCCTGGTGGGGTTGAAGGAGTGGGGAGGTTGCTTTTGTCCTGGGCTGCCATGCATGCCCTTTAGAGCCTAAGCATTTGCTCCTCATATTCAAGATAATGCTTGGATCTCAAAGTACTTTGCACACTTGAGTCACCAATGTCTCTTTGACTTACTAACTCCTAGAGGAAGAGTTGGGAGGGGGGGATCCGGGAGGGGGAGAGGGAGGAGGGATTGGAGAAGGGATACAGAAGACTAGAGTAGAAAGAAGAGAGCTGAGAAGCCATGGCTTAAAGTCTGCGTGGGGCCAGCCTACAGATGTCTCCAGGGAATCCTTGGGTGGGAAAGTAAAAAGGGGTACAGAGGAATCTGTGGTGCTTAGATGCCAATACAAAATGAGATTCCTCACAACTGTGTGTGTGTGTGTGTGTGTGTGTGTGTGTGCTGGATTTGAACTTGGGACCTGGGTACTGTCCCTTATTTTTTTTTCCATTCAAGATTTGGAATCATTTGGGCCACAACAGCTCCACTTCTGGTTTTTTGGTGGTTAATTGGACATAGGAGTCTCACAAGCTCTCCTGCTCAGGCTTAGCTTCAAATCATGATCCTCAGATCTCAGCCTCCTGAGTAGCAAGGTCTACAGATGTGAGCTACCAGCACCTGGCTCCCTTAGAGATTTTTTTTTCCTGAGTTAAAAAATGATATTATCAATATTATAAAGATGATGTACAGAGGGCTGACAGTTACCTGTCAGGTGAAGAGTACATTTCTTTTTGGACAGTGTCATCCCTTCTATCACTTTAACCCAGGTTTCGCTCCCATCTCCACGCACAAATTATATAGTTCATTTTCAACGTAGAGTCTAGTGAGTACCATCGCTGCATTTGTTCACTCTTTGTCCCTCCAGTTCTGAGCCCCCGTTGCCCTCCCAAAGATAGATAGACAAACAAACAAGACAAAATGACAACAAAGAAAAAAAAACCCTCTTGTTTCCATCTCCTGGAGTTCATTTTGATAACCATATTGTCAGAGGCACACACTAAGAGTGTCTTCCTTGGGTCTTACTCCGTGTGGATGCCTGGGATCCTGAATAACTTATCATGTCACATATCTGATCTGACACCTATTTCTGTCCACTCTATTTACTGTTCAATGATTTCCCATTGCTGTATAGGATACAATCCAAAATCAACATGGCATGGTGTGACCTTTGCCCACCTATCCTATGCTGTTTCCTTCCTTGCATATACTTTGTTTCAGCTCCACTACTGGCCTTTCCTTTCCTGGAAGATGCCCTCATGCCTGTGTTAGCCACGGCAGCTTGGCAAAGGTTTGTCTCTGCTCACAGAGTTAACCCTTGTCCTGCTCTGAAGCTCTGACATTAAACATCACTTCTTCTAAGAGGTCTTGTCTGTGCCTTTGACTCCCATAAGAAACCAGGCCCCTTCTAGGTCCTGAAGCACTTGTTACGGTTTGTTGATAAGCCATAAAACCCTTCCCACTGGACCAGAAGCTTCATGAGTCCCTATTAACTGCACAGTCTGCCCCATTTCCCCCACGCTGGCCAAAATGGGTGTGAGAACATTCATTGAGGGCATGCTGTGAATGGCAGAGCTGGCAAGACCCAAGGTGACAAATCAATGGTCCTCTAATGCTTCTTTCTACCTTGATAGCCAGTTGAGGAGTCAGAGTCTTAGAAAGGATGAACAACTTGTCATTTAGGCCTAGAGCTCTCTACCTCCTCGCTCTCCAACCAGCCCTCAGTCCCATCTGCTCTCATTTATAAGAAAGTCCCAAATCCCAGGGCTGGACGTTGGCTGATTCCTCCTTGCTGGTGTTGAAGGAAGACAGGTTAGGAAGCAAAACACCAAGCCTTGGATGATATGATTTTAATTTGGAAGAGAAGGGGTTCATACCCAGAGGGTGTTCCATCTGCGGACTGATGGGTGATGTGGACATACACCTGGAAGGTGAGGCCCACCATCTCCCCAACAGTTATCTCTGCTTGTCCTTGGACTTGGACTCCATGATGTCTCCTCTTATTTTGGGTCCTGAGCATTCTTGGTCATGAACTGGGTGCTTGCTGCAGGCTCATTCAGCTGATAGCGGGTCAGAAAGCTGTCCATTTTCCAAGAGCCTAAAAAAAAAAATAATAGAACACAGGGAGGCAGTGAGAGAGAACTCTGTTCTTTTTTTTTTTTTTTTTTTTGATTTTTGTCGGTTGTGGGCCTGAACTCTGGGCCTGGGCACTGTCCCTCAGCTCTTCAGCTCAAGGTTAGCCCTCTACCACTTGAGCCACAGCGCCACTTCTGGCTTTTTCTGCTTATGTGATGCTGAGGAATCGAACCCAGGGCCTCATGCATGCAAGGCAAGCACGCTACCACTGAGCCACCTTCCCAGCCCCGAGAACTCTGTTCTTGAGAGCTGGGAGCGGCCTGACAGGGAGACAGCAGATGATGGCCTTGGTCACAGGGCTGTGGGGGACAGTGCCTCTTGGCTCCTTGTTAGAGGTGGCCCATGGATGCTCACACAGCCCTTGAGAAGTGGCGGAGGGTTAGGTGCCTGCTTGTTAGAGGATGAACCAAAGCCATCTTGGGCTTCCTGCACATTTGTCTTTATATCTAGGCAGAAAGGAAATGCCAGTCGGTGAGCAGTTCGCCCTCTCTACCCATACCCTTTTCCCCATGGATCTCCTGACCATGAAGACCCATGACACCTGCTCATCTTAGCTGCTGGGGCTATGATGGGTGGGGATCTATGCCCTGCCTACAGACGTCTCCTCCGGACTCCCACTGACCCCTGCCACAGAGCTTCTTTCCTCAGGTGGAGGTAAAGGGACAGCACGTGGATCCTGGAGGGGCAGAGACAGAGGGAGACACATCCCTAGGCTGGGGTTGGAGAAGTCCAGTCACTGCCCAGGCTGGAGGGGACCTCAGAGGGGAGCCAACCCAACAGGGGTACATCTAGGGCAAGTGTGGACACGCAGGGTAAGCAGGGCACAGCCCCGGGCACTGGGGAGAGGCTGAGGAAACTGGTCAGAGGCATTTTCCCACGCTCTTGTTTCCCAAACCCTGAGCCTCGGGCACCCTGCGTCAATGGTTGCCAGGAAAATAAAGGAAGCCTCGGTAAGTTTGGATATCAGATAAGCAGCAAAATGTTGGTTGTGTAAGTGTATCCTACCTGTTGTGTGGAGTGTACTAAAGTTTTATTTTTCAGTTTTTGCTGTTTATCTGAAATTTAAATTGAGGTGGAATTTACATGTGTCCTGCAGTTTCTTGCGCTTTTGGTGTTTGTTGGTTCTTTTTTTTATTTTTTTTTTTGGTTGGTAGTGGTGGTGGGGTTTGAACTCTGGGCTTGGGTGCTGTTCCTGCGCTCTTCAGCTGAAGGCCAGAGCTCTACTGCTTGAGCCACAGCGCCACTTCTGGTTTTCTAGTGGTTTATTGGAGATAAGAGTCCCTTGGACTTTCCTGCCCGGGCTGGCTTTGAACCGCAATCCTCAGATTGCAGCCTCTTGAGTAGCTAGGATTACAGGTGTGAGTCACCGGCGCCAGCATGTTGGTTCTTTTTGTTAGCAATGGGTGGAGAAAGCTCTTGGGGAAGGCCTTGTCCAGAGCAGAGCAAGATCAGATATGGAAGAGATGCTGGAGACCAGTCATCTAGTCATTTAGTTCTTTTTTTCCCCTTACTCCGCCTACCCCCTTTTTTTTCTTTAGTATTGGGGATTGAACTCAGGGCCTCACACATGCTAGGTTAACACTCTGCTGCTTAAGCCACACCCCAGACCATTTATTATTTGTATTTGAGAGGCGCTCTGTCTTAGGCCCAGGTGGCCTCCAACTCCTGTTCCTTCTGCTTTTGCCTCTTGAGGAGCTGGGATTACAGGCATCCATTCCTGGCCAAGACCAGTCATTTCTGATACCAAGACAGATAAGGGAAAGGCGCTAAGAGCCTAGAAGTTCTCTTAGACTCACCTAAGATTCACAGGCCGCTGTGTGTACACCTACACCCTCCTTTTCATAAAGACATAGAAATTGAGTCTACCTTAATATTTTTCTTGCAGCTCTCCTTCCCTCCCAGGGGTGATTGGCATTGCAAAAATGTTCTAAAGGGCAGAACTATTTATTTATATATGTTGCTGCTGGTGCTGGGGCTTGTACTCAGGGCCTGGACAATGACATCCCCGAGCTTTCTTTGCTCAAGGCTAGCACTCTATCACTTGAGAAACAGCTCTATGTCTGGCTTTTTGGTGGTTTAATTGGAGATAAGAGTCTCAGGGACTTTTCTACCTGGGCTAGCTTTGAACTGAGACCCTCAGAGCTCAGCTTCCTGAGGAGCTCGGATTATCGGTAGGAGCCACTGGTGCCTGGCTAGGCCAGGACAATTTTAAAAGTCAAGCAGGCACAAGCACAATAACAACAGTACTCCCCTGTAGGACTTCCTGTGTGCCTGGTGGTGCTCCAGGAGCTATTTACACACTAGCATTGGGAACCACAGAGGGAAGGGGGGATGGAACCTCTAGAATGGAGCTCCAGTGAGGAAGCTCTTAGAGGGCACAGATGTGGGCAAGGCCCTTTGACATTCCCTCAGTGCTGTCTTACCCAGCAACTATGGGCCCAGGCCTCGTGAGAGGGGGGACTTGCAGGAGTGTCCTGGAGGCAGGGTGACCCAGGTGCTAAGAATTTGACCTTAGATGGATGCTAGCTGCACTAGGTATTTCCATGGTGCAGATTGGTGTCCTTCCTGGTACAACCTTTGTAGGCCAGGATGTATGTATGCATACATACATATGTGTATGTACCCCAGTGTGTATATGTGTATGTATGTGTGTGTGTGCACATGTGTGAGTGCCAGGGAAAAAGCTCATGGTGAACTGGTGCAGGGCACACCCGAGGTGACAAGGTGGCTTTCCCCATCAAGGAGGGCAGGAAGGAACCTGGGTGGCAAGGAAGGAATTGAAACCCATCACGAGATCAGGGCAGGCGGGTGGAAAGAAATCCCCTGTACCCGCATGAGCCCTCATTTGCCTCCCCTCGTGCCAGACAGTGAGGCCTCCCTGAGCTACAAGATGCCTCCTGTGTGCATCCCGTGACCCCGGAGCCTCAGGCTCCTGCTTAGCCCCATTGCCAACTGTCCTGTGGTTCTCTGCATCTTGGGCAGCTGCTGCACAATGTCAGGCCCTAGCGTCCGCCGCCTCCTTCTCTGGCTCACTCAGGACTCCTCACAGCCCCCACTAGTTTCCTGCCACACAGGGCAAGAGGAACTGACCCCAAGCAAGTTCTTGAAGAAAGACGGGGTGAGTCAGGCCCTCAGGGGCGTGTGGGGAGAGATGAGGAGCTGTGGCTTCCGTGGTCACCACTCAGAGGAAAACCCCTTCCTGTATGGCACTGCTCTGTCCCTGAGCTGCAGGAGGCCCCTGCCATGCAGGAAGGGGGCGGGATGGCTGCACCGGTAGCCCGCCAGACTCTTCCTGCCACAGGGGAGAGGCTTCCAGGAGGCGGCGGCCTCTGGTGTTCTGGAGCCTTCCAGCAGGGGCCTGGTCCCCTGGGGTGCCCCCTATCTTGTACAGCCAGCTCCAGCAGCCCTGTCTGGCCGTCACCCCCTCATTTACTGGCCAGTGCTGAGGTTAGAGGAGCTAGGGTAAAGTTCAGGGATGTCTTGTGGGAGGGGACGAAGGGAGAGTAAGGAAAGCTCCTCTAAAAGCCAGGGGTTCTGTATGCCTGACCTGCTGAGCACCAGCAAGCTGCAGGGATTGTCTGGGAGCAGTTCTTGGGAGTGATAGTCAGAAATGGCCTGGGGCACGTGTTGACACTCGCTTTTCATCTTCAGGTCCCGGATCTACGGAGCTGGCTTTGCCTGGTTTGGAGGTGGTTATTGGATACTCCTGGCCAGCTTTGTTGGGCCTGTCAGGGCTAAACAGGCCTGGGGAGACTGGGAAAGTGATGCTCTAACTAGTCTAGTCCTCACCCCCTTGCAGGACTGAGAAGAATGGGGCCATTAGATGCAGAGTGTGTGTGCTGTGAGCTGAGGGGGCAGGGCCTCCCTAGGCCTCTGTCAGGCATGGGAGGTGGTGGCTTTTTTATCCAATCTCACTCTTGCCCTCGTGAGTTCCAGGTGTGTGTGTGTGTGTGTGTGTGTGTGTGTGTGCACGTGTGCCAATATTAGGACTCTAACTGGGGGCCTTGAGCTCTTGCTTGGCTTTTTTGCTGAAGGTTGATGCTTTTCCACTTGGGCCACACCTCCACTTCAGGCTTTTTGTTGATTAATTGGAGATAAGAGTCTCCAAAGACTTTTCTGCCTGGGCTGGCTTTGAATCGTGATCCTCAGCTCTCAGTCTCCTGAGTAGCGAGGATTATTGGTGTGAGCCACTGGTGCCCGGCCTCCATGAGTTTCTGATGTAACATAATTAACACAAGGCAAATTACAAACCAATCCTTGGAAGGGAGGCCTTGGTCAGGGCACTGCTGCCTAGAGTCTCTTTAATAGCCTCATTCCTAGGTCCCCTGCCAGCCTAGGACAGCTGCCTGGCCCGTTCTAGCCAACAAACGTTTCCCACCTGAATTGCTACTTGGTCCTTCCCTGGCGGCCTTGAAGTATGCTTTCCTCTCAGTCTGGGATGTAAGAGTTGGGAGGCCGATGGAGGCAGGCCTCCATTCAGGTGAACGAGAGAGCAAGGCACGGAGTGCTGAACCCTTGGCAGTTGGCCTTCTGCCCTGGGCAGCTGTTGCAGTGACCCAGGTTATGACTCTGAGCTGCCCTGTGCCTCCAGGCTATGGCCAACTAAGATCCATACCCTGTTCCCCCCTCCCTTCCTCCCTGTTCCACTCTATCACCTGGCAGGTCACCACTTCTGGTCAGGGGACAGAAGTGGCCCTGAAGAAAACAACAGGAATCCAACTCCAACCTAATAACCGCCCCACGAGAGCCAGGCTCAGGTCTGTAATTTGTCTGGCTCATCGGGGCTGGCTGCAATGATGGAACGCTGATGCCTTTCTGCGGAGATTAATGATGTCCTGGCACTGGTAGGCGGGAGGCCTGAGCCTTTTATTTTTTGTGCCATTAAATGACATCCACAGACTTTCACTGAGGAGCTGAAAAGCCCTCGTTCCATCACATCCAATTACTCCTAGAGCGTATTTGCTGAGTGGCTGATCCAGCTGACTTGAGAGGCTTTGGGATGGAAGGACCACTGGGACTTTGGTTTGAGTGAGCAGGAGAGAGGCTGGGCCATTCCAGGATAGCAAGGAGCTACCCAGTCTCCTCCGGAGGAGAGAACCCAGGAGGCCTGGCGGGTAGGGCACAGGCTCTACCCCTGGGGCCTCTGCCTAGCTCTGGAAGGCTGACTGCTGATTGGATCAGCCAGTCTCCTTCCTCCTCTATTTGAGGCTAAGGGGGGAAGAAAAGTGGGGAGGGGAATAAGGGGGTCCAAGCTGCCAAGTTTACTCACAGTTATCAGCTCCAATAGTTGGGAGTAGCAACTGCTTGCTGAACTGGGCTGGAATTTGGGGGACATCTGTGGGTTTTCCATGATTTATCTAATGTGTGTAAGGATGATGTTTTGGACTTATGGCCTGAAGAGATTTTAGGTAGCTCCTGGCCAAGGGTGCCTGTCTGAGGGCTGCCCAGCATGACCCTGGCTGGATGGCTGCCAGTCCCCCAGTGCTACTGGCCCTGCCTGGTGGGTGCGACCCTTCAGAGGCAGAAGGGAGCTGTCTGCCACAAGCCTGCACGGTGATCACAGGCTGGGCCCTGGGGGATTCTGGGAACCTGGCCAGGTGAACCACTGTGGGAGGTCATGGGGTGGGCTGTTTGTTTGGGTTTTTTGGTGGGGTGTGTGTATGTGTGTGTGTGTGTGTGTGCGTGCTGGAGGGGGACAGTCTGAGGATGCAGCTGCTCTGGAGGCAGGCTTCTCTTTCCTCTTAGGGCTCTTCCCTCCTCTCTTCCCCACACCCAGCACTCCTGCCCAGCTCCCTCTCTGCCTTGTTCCTTTGGTCCCTGACTCCTGCTGTGGCAAGTTAGCTGTTACCCTGTGAGACACAGGGAGGAATTCCCTGACTCATTCATGAGAGAGCATGAGGCCGGCTTGTGACACCTCTGGGCAAAGTGGCTGAGGTATGGCATGGGGAGCCACAGCCCCCTAGAAGTTTGAGGCTCACCACAGCCTTCCCCTAGGAAGGGGCCACTGATTAGATTGACCTTTCTCAGGCTCAGGACTGCAGGATGCAGGAGAGGGCTTGGAGTGAGGAGTTCAAGCCCAGCACCAACCAACCAACAAACCAACCAACCAACACGCACACACATACCCCTACACACAAATATCTGGGGTTGGTCTTGCCAGTCAAGCCTGCTCAGCTGTTTCCATTCATGTTCACAACTCAGAGGTGCAAGAGCTCAGGAAGTGGACAGTAAATCAGTTCTAGGTCATTCCACGGTGGACTAGCTAGTCTAACCTGTTGGCTTGATGAGGTAGAAATAGGTCCAGAGATGTGAAATGGCTTGTTTAAGTTCTCACTATGAGGGTGTTTGTTTGTGCTGGTACTGGGGCTACAACTCCGGGGTTGGTGCTGTACCTTAGCTGTTTTCTGTTTTCTCAAGGCTGGAGCACTACCGCTTGAGCCATAGCTCTCTACTTCGGGCGTTTTGATACTTAACTAGAGATAAGCGTCTCACAGACTTTCCTGTCCCCAGCTGGCTTTGGACCTTGATCCTCAGATCTCAGTCTCCTGAGCAGCTAGGATTACAGGTGTGAGCCACTGGAGCTGGCCTCAATGAGGGTGTGAATGCCCTTATCTGCTGACCACATGCACTTGTGCTGAGTCACAGGATAAAGAGGGACCCAGGGGACAGGTTTAACCCCCTAGGCTCTGAAATGCCACCCGTCATCCTCTGCACAGTCATGGCAGATTCAGTACGATCACCTCAAGCGCTCTTCTCACCCTTTTCTGTCATTCACACATGAGTTTCTAGGGAGGACAAGTGCTCAAACAGGACTAGAATACGATTCCTAAAAGGCTGATTCTTACCAGGCGCTGGTGGCTCATGCCCTTACTCCTAGCTACTCAGGAGGCTGAGACCTGAGGAGTGCAATTTGAAGCCAGCCTGGGCAGGAAAGTCGGTGAGATACTGATCTTCAATGAACCACCAGAAAACTGGAAGTGGTGCTATGGCTCAAAGTGGTAGCACACTAACCTTGAGCAAAAGAACTCAGGGACAGTGTCCAGGCCCTGAATTAAAGCCCCATCATCATCATCATCATCATCATCATCATCATCATCATCATCACCATCATCAACAACAGACTGGTTCTTCACTTGTTTTTTTCGAACCCTGCACCACACTGGGAGCCTGTAGGTTACTCTGGTTTCAAAACTGCTTTGCAAAACTTTCTTCTAACTGCCCTGCTGTCCCCAGGGATATTCCCATACCCAGCCTGACCTTTCCCCTTTCCAAGCTGGTTATGCCACACCCTTCCCTCCCGGCTCCATTCCCACCGAGAGAAAAATCAGACCAAGGCAAGTCCCTGGACCTGCATTCTCTGGCAAGGCCTTGTGCCCTGGCCTCCTTGAGTCAGTCCAGCCTGGGGCTCCATGAGTCCCCAAGCACTTACAGTATGCCAGGCCCTCAGAGCCTGGCATTGTGCAAAGACTGCTGTTTCTGCTTTTGCAATCGTCTTGGGTTCATCCACGCCAGCCCCTCACTGCCTCTAGCTTCCCTGGCCCAGGGAACTCTTCCTTCCATCGAGGACTCCAATCTTCTTCCACAGGGCTCAGTCCACATCCCCAGCCTTCTCCACTGAGCCTCAGGGTCCCAAAGATTTGTAGATGGGCTACAAACGATCACCTCCTCATTCTCTAGAGAGGAAATGCAGGCCCATACAGGTTCATTGATTCACCCCAAAGTTATATCACTAGACAGTAGAAGTGGCGTTTCCCCATCCTATGTTAAAAGCACGTTTGCTCCCTTCCCCTCGATGAAGACACTGTGCTGTCCCGGACAGAGCGGGGACCCCCAGCAACAAAAGGGGGGGTCCTTCAGCCCACCTGGTGGTCTTCAGTGTCCTCACAGTCAGAAGCATGTAGGGAAGCACTTGCTGATAAGCTGCTTTGTGTTGTTATTATGTCGGTTCCAAAGTGCACAGTAAGCCCCTTGAGGGCAAGGAAAAAACCAATCCCCTGGGACCTTGGGATTGAGTTTTCTCCACAGGCCACAGCACAGCTACGTGGAAGGCAGCCCATGGCAAGGCCGGAGCCTCTGCCGAGGCTGTCGTCTGGGAGCAAATGAAAACGGCACAGGTGCCCAAGAGAATTTGGCTCAGATACATGCCCACGGTCTAAGTTTTCCTGTAAATGGAAGGTGGGTCATGGGTGTGTTGTGTGCCTGTAGTTCTAGCAAAGATCCCAAGAGGTTGATAATGGAGTTCAGGTCCCACACATTTCCAGCATCTTTGCCTTGCTACCTGTGTTCTGGGCGCTGTGATTCCTGGAGGTGAATCTGTGGTTGGACCTCAGGAGCCCTGGCTTGGCAGAGTTGGGCAGTGTCTTTGCCACTGTCACAAACTGCTCCTCCTGGCATCATTGAATGCTTCTGCTTCCCCACGCCATCCTGCCACAGACAGCAAGTGCCTGGAGAGGTTCTTCGGTGTGATCTTGTCTGAGCATGGTTCTGCCCGAGACTTTGGTGTTGGACCCCTGGAATCTCAAGGGGGGTGGGGGACCTGAGACATTGCTTTAACTCAGCGTGAATCTTCAGGTTAGGTAATGCTGGAGGAGACGGTGTGCGTGACGATCGCTGGGCTGGCAGAAGGGGCTTCCTGACATCTTTGGAGAGATTGGTACCCAGGATGCTGAAGAAACTTGTTTGGCCTGGGGGACATGCACTTTTTACTCCCTTGTCTCTTTGTATGGAAACTTGAAAGTGTGTTTTGGCAGAGCCGTGAAAGAGTCTTGCAGGTTGGCCAGGGGCTGAGGGCACCTGGGGAGGGTTCATGGGTGGAAAGGTGGCACTGACGCAGTTTCGGGTGCCTGGGGCCGTCTGTCATTGGCGGTCCCTGTTTGGCACCCATCTCAAGGACTCCACTGCTCTGCCAGGACCTACTGCCTCCCTGGGCTCTGGCTCCTCTCCTTTGGGGCCTCAAGCATTGGGTATGTGACAATGCCTGCGCTGGCTTCTCAGTGGGTGGAGGTTGGTTGGGGTCACTGGGGGAGAGGAAATGGGAGCTGATACCTACCCTCCCGTTCCTTTGCCGACAGCCTGAGGGAGCCACCTTTTGTACCTTCAGATTGCCGCCGCGTGTGCATTCTACACGACCTTCTCTATCCTCAAACTGGGGAGGTGATGGAGTGCATAGGGATTAATTTATTTCCCATTTTCCTGAAGAGAAATCTAAGGCTAGAGGAAGGGTGTGGCTCACACAGGTGAGTCACCGCAGGCCCCAGCTCCTCCTGCTGCCCAGCCTTGGAGACAGAAGGGTGAGGGCTAAGCCCAGCAGGTTGGGTTGGCCATTAGGAATCCACAGAAAATGGGTCCTTTCTAGAGTTCATGGAGGGCTGCTCAGAGAACCCGGTGGAAAGGGTGTGTCTGGGGACATCTTTGCCCTACCACTGAAGATGGCAGGGCAGAACAAGCAATTAGCCACCAATGAAGACAGACCGGCAGAGTGGCATTCCAGGGCCCTCTAGCACAGATTGGCCTCAATTATAGGGCACAATTACCTGCTGAGATGTTGTGGGGTGCTGCCTGCACATGCCGTGCAAAGATTTTGGGGGTGCTCCTTGGTCTACGGGATTTACTTCTGGGAGGACCCCACACAGAAAGCCAATATCTCTTAGAACTCTCATTTTAGTTCATTACCAAGAAACCCCATCCTTTGACCCCAGTCTTTAAGACTCTTGGGTGGGGGTCAAGGCTCTAAAACTCCCACATGAAGGTTCTAACTCCCCCATGAACGCACAAAGCTTCAGTTTCGCCCTAGCATCCACCTTGGGAATGGGAAAGCCTTACCTCTAGTTTTGTTTTCTTTGGGAAGGAGAGAGATGATCTTTTCTCCTTGAGGATAGAGAAAGAACTGGTAGCGATGGAAGCCCGTGGCTGCTGGTGGGGTGGGAGGGCGGTAGGCTGCAGGACAAGAAAAGAATAGATAGGTGGGCTCGGGTACATGCTACCCAGGGCAGAGAGGTTCTGCTTGTAGCTATCTTTAGCTGCTCAAAGTGTCCCTGTCTTCTATGGTCCTTGCTGACCATTCTGAGTCTCTCCCATTAGACATTATGAGGATTTCACCTTTGGTCAGGGGCGAGGTGGGGGGGGACATGGGGAGAGTGAGGAATAGAGGGGAAAGGCTTCAGGCTAACATGAAGGTCTAAGGTGCTGGCATGGTTTGGCATGGTTCCCAGGACTTTCTGGGCCAACGGGTGTTGGTGTTGTCCTGTTTTTGCTTTAGTCTATCCTGCTGTGTTTCCTGTCTCAAGAGAAACCCATCTTCCCTTGTGAGTGTGTTTGGCCGTGGGTTTTTATTTATTTTTTCAGCATTTCCTTATGAACTCAATCCCTAAAGAAGCCAGTTTCTTGGCTGGGTTTGGAAGATCTGGAAGTGGTTATGGGAGTGGGTGGAACTGGGTTCAAAGGTTTGATCACAGGCGCTGAAGGAGTTGGGTGCTTGGGGCCTTGGCGAGAAGGCTCATCTCCCTCCCCTTGACTCTTCCTCCATACTGTTTTCTGTATGTTTGTTTGTTGTTTGCTTGTTTTTTTGGGGGGGGGAGGGGAGATAAAAGTGGAGTGGAGATATCCCTCATTCTTCTCCCAAGTGTATTCAGGAACCCAGGGTTTTGTTGGCCAAGATGAGGGTCTTTCAAACTGGGTCTTTTCCAAGAGTGCTTGGCTCTTTCCCACTCCCTTCCCCTCTCTCCATCTCTCTCTCCAAAGAGGAGAAGCAGGCTGGAGTCAAGAATCTTCCTGGGAAGGGTGGGGAAGGAGTGTTTTGGATGAGGCTGTGGGTGGGAGGGAGCACGGGTGGGTATTTCACGGCTGTTCAGTTCCCCTCCTTTATTCTCAAGACCTTGAAACAAAAGAGCAATCAACTGTTTGGCACTGCTAACAGTGTTCCTTATAGTGCACTTCCGGCCACGGGGCTTACAGCGTGCCAACAGCTGGGGGAATTCCTGACTGTTCCATCTTTCCCATCGCAGATACTGTGTGTGTGTGTGTGTGTGGTGTGTGTGTGTGTGTGTGTGTGTGTGTGTGTCTGAGGGTTTACACAGGGACAGATCTGTGCATATGAAGAGTTGTGGGGCTAGCTCTAGGTTGTTTTGGAGAGACTCTGTGTGTGTGTGTGTGTGTGTGTGAATTCAGGTAAATCAGTGTTTCTTCTCTAATATCACCAATGCTGAATGCCCCTGCATTCTGAGCTTTGTGTGCATTGGTGTGTGAAGGGCAGGGCAGTATCCCTTAAGACTGTTGGGCACTGGGGTTGCTGAGGACCCTTGAGGTGGGCATATTCCACCGTCAAGGACAGGAATCAGTGTGGACAAGTCAGAGGTTTGTACTCAAGTCAGTGGTTGTTCCATGCAATGGGGGATGAAGCCTCAGGGGACCTGGAGACTTTTCCCCATCACCAGGGCATTACTTCAGAGTCATCCACTTTCCTGGGTGCTGGTGTCTCCCACTAGTAATCCTAGCTACTCAGGAAGCTGAGATCTGATGATTGTGGTCTAAAGCCAGCTTGTGTAGGAAAGTCCATGAGACTCTTATCTCCAATGAACCATCAAAACGCTGGAAGTGGAGCTGTGTTTCAAGTGGTCTCAAGTGGTAGAGTGCCATCCTTGAGTGGAAAAAGCTAATGGACAGCTTTCAGGCACTTGGTTCATACCCCAATCCTGGCATGCCCACCAAAAGAATCATCCACTTAAAATCTCTAGATGTAAAGGCGGGGGGGGGGGCGGAATGACTGGGGTGGGGGGGAGGGATTTCTGTACCCATTGAGCCACTCATCTGACCAGACCCTGGGTTAGATGCATAACCTTCACTTACAACTGTCTCCACTTTCTGGATGAGGAAACTGAGGCTCTGGGAGGTGAGACCAGGGACCCAGAAACCTGAGCCCATGCTGCTTCACAGCCTGAGAGATGGCTATACTAAGTCCCTGTGTGCAGTGAGCTCACCACCTGAGCAATCCCTTCAGATGGAGCCCAGAGAGCACCCTGGGGGTGGAGGGGCGGGTAGGGGTGTGTGTGGGGGAATGGGAGTAAGAGGGTGCTGGGAGCAGGGAGGGGAGGGCCTTGGAAGTCACAAGCACTGCCCAGTCCTACAGGCCCCTGTGATCAGACTCCAGCTAGCTCTGTCCCTTACTAACCCTGTGTCACAGGGCAGGCCTGCGGCCCCCCAGTTTCATTCTCTTTATAAGATGACTTGGATGTCGGCAACCTTGTGAGGAAGTTGTGGAGGTGACATCAGACTCTACAGAGCTGCTGGTTACACATCACAAAGCAGCTCCCTGGCTGGAGGAAGGGGGTACTAGAGGGCTTGCTTACCTGTTAACTCGCGGCCCTGGATCTTTCCTTTCTTTATGTTGCTGCCCTGAAATGAGAGACAGGTGAGACTTGGGTTACCCAGTGAAGGCTGACCTCCCCCCATGCTTCTGTCCCCTTGGTCTGCTTGCCTCTCCCTGGGGGAGCAGGACGGGGCAGGAAGGGTATAACTGCTCTAGAGACAGACTCAGGGAGTCTTGGGGGGATGGCCTTAGGGCATCTGGGAAGTTCTGATAGGACCTGTCCCAAAGGGCTGCACCCCGATACTGGGCACAGGACGTAACTGTTCCTTCTGACTATTCTCAGTCCATCTTTGCCCTAGTGAGGGCTTCGCTCTCCCACAGCCTTTGGCAAATGAGGCCATCTGAGCAGGCAGAGGGGGAGGGAGGGCAGCAGGGGCAGGCCTGCCTGACTCCCTGCTCAACCCCATAGTTCAAGGAAGTTTCTTTAGCCTCAGTTTCCCTCCTCCTCTTTCTCCCTTCCCTCCTCCCCTCTGCTTGGTGTCTGTGGGATAATGAGGTGCTCCCCGGGGGCGGGTGCTAATTACTGTTTGTGCAGAACCGGGAGATGCTCAGATGAAAGGGACTGGAGCCGGGCCCCTGGGTCCATGCCATAGCTCAGGGCCTCAGGCCAGGCCAGGGAGCCCTGTGGCCCCTAGGTGTGGGGTTTTATAACCTTAATGATGGTGATTAGCTTAGCGTGACTCTTAATTGATTCTGCCAACACCTAACTGTGCCCTGGCCCCTTTTCTACCCAGCCCTTCCTGGGTGCAGACCCTGCCCCTTGCCTCCTGGAGGGGGTTCATGGCGGGGGTGGGGGGTGGCAAGTGGAAGAGAAAGCTGGAGGAGAGGAGAGTGGGGCTCAGGATAGAAGACAGCCAACCCTGGCTGGCCACTCATCCTTCCTAAGCCCTCTGACCCCCTCATCTTTAGCTGATATGGCCTGAGTGGCTTTTTCCCCAGGCTTACTCAGCAGGGACGAGGCCATGCTTGATTGAGCGAAGGGGCAGGAGGCTAGAAGGACAGGTCACTCTGCCAGAGCCTTCTAGATTAGGTCCTCCACTCTCTCTTCTTCCCATCTTCCCCTACTCCCGTAGCTCTGGAGCACCCAGGTGGCTGTCTACACCCAGGCCTGCTTGGCCCTTTTCTGGATGCAGGCTCTTGACTCCCCTGCTTCGGGCCTTGCATGGTCTAGGGCTGGCATTAGGACCCCCGTGTGTTCAAGCGGCCGAGGGGCCAGGCTCCAGCATGAGGGTAAGAGGTTGGAGCCTGGTGGCCTCTTCCTTAAACTCCCATCCTTTCCAGGTGACTAGGTCGGGAGTCCACAGGAACTAGCAGTCACCTTCCCAAAACAGTTCTGCTTACTTACTGTAGCCCCATGGAGAAGGCTGGGGGCGGGGCCAGGGAAGCCGCCTGCTCAGTGTTCCCCAGCCTTCTCCTCCCCCTCATTCCCCTCCCAGGCCCCCCAGCCCGCAGTTCGGTTAAACCAAACAATAGCAATCCAGGTTGGCTGTTGATTTTCAGTTCCCCACAGGCTTGGGTCCCACCCAAGTGATAAACAGAGAGGAGAGGGAGGGGCTGGAGCCTGCTTGAGGAGGGGGAGGGTGTCAGGGAGCAGCTTGTGTGGAGCAAGTCTGAGCCTTGGGGAAAAGTCTGACTTGTGGCCTGGCTCAGGGTGGGAAGCCTCCCCATTCCTTTCACCCAGGGAGTGTGACACCTGGTAACAAAGGCGAGCCTACCCTTAGATTGGGCTCACAGAGTAGTAGCCAGCCACCAGCCCTTTCCGCCTTCCCCGGTGCTCCTCAGTCTCTGTCCCTTCTACTTGACTGAAGCGCTGAGGGCATTTAGGCTGTTCAAGCTCAGGCCTGTCCTGTGGATAGACGCTGCTCCTTGTTGGCAGGAGGGGCCCCGTGGCAGAAGAATTTCTGTAATGAGTGGACTGTGGTTGACTTGAATTGGGTTGAGAGTGGCTAGGCTCTTTGGCTGTAAACCTTTCCCCTGGTCAGTCCTGCAGGGACTGGTATTCTTACCATGGAATCAGCAACTGCAAGAGTTGTGGGGGACTAAATGCTAAAGGATGAGAAAGTTGGGATCTGGAGGAGTCAGATGAATTATCCCAAGGCATTAGAACCATGAGTTGGGAGAGCCCAGAATGGTTGGGGAGGAAGGGTCCATGGGCCCTAGATCAGCTGGTCAACTGCTCAGGCCTTTCATCATACAGCACTGTCCTGAGCCTTCCCATAGTGTCTCAACAAGCCCACTGCTCTGCTATTAGGCATCATTTTCAGAAGACCACTACTAAGATACAGATATTGACTGGGGATGTTGGGCTCAATGGTAGAACATGTGCTTAGCATATGTAAGGTCCTGAGTTCAGTCCTCAGCACCAAACCAAACCTTAAATTGTATACAGCTATTGCCTACAATGGAAATGGTTCTCTATCCCATATATCAGCTCTCTTTAAATATGCTTGTGGGTTTAAAAAAAATTCATTGAAGTCAGGTGCCAGTGGCTCATGCCTGTAATCCTAGCTGCTCAGGAGGCTGAGATCTGAGGAACATAGTTCAAAGCCAGCCTGGGCAGGGAAGTCCGTGGGACTCTTATCTCTAATTAACCACCAGAAAACTGGAAGTGGTACTGTGGCTCAAGTGCTAGAGTGCTTGCCTTGAGTTGAAGAGCTGCGGGACAGCGCCCAGGCCCAGAGTTCAAGCCCCATGACCAACCAGAAAAAAAAAAATCTCATTTAAGAGCTGGGAGCTGGTGGCTCATGCCTGTGGTCCTAGCTACTCAGGAAGCTGAGATCCAGAGAATTGTAGTTTGAGGACAGTTGGGTGGAAAAGTATACTAGACTCCATTTACAAAATCACCACCTCCCCACCTCCCCAGAAAGACAGCAGGGCTGAAGGCATGATTCAAGTTGTAGAACACAATCCTAGCCAGTGAGAAGCTCTGAGTTCAAGCCTTAGAACTGCCAAAAAGGAAAAAAAAAATCTCCCATGCAGCATGATATCACTGTAGGAAGCTGGATGGAGGTGAATGGGGAAACTGAGAGGTGCTAACGCTGCCCTGGAGGTGAACCAGGGAGGGGACCCCTGGTAGGGACTTGGGTAGGGGGCCAGTGTTGGATGAGCCCAGGCACCACACCTGCACACTCTGAAAGAGAACCTGAAGGAGGCAAGGGACTGCTAAGACCACCGCTTGGGCGTCCTCTTCTCGCCCATGCTGCTGCCTGTCCGGTCAGCTTCCAGGTATGCTTGTACCTCTTTAAGATGGGCTGAGCACAGACCAATCCTTCCCTTCCCTTCCCTTTCTGACGCTGAAGACAGGTTGACATTTTCAAAAAGAACTTATCTAAATGCTTCGGTTAAAAAAAGGAAATAATTATGGAAATTACAAACAGCGTAGACGCAGTTGGGTTTCTGATCCTCAGAAACATTGAAAAGGCAATTTCTCTTTCAGTTCAATTTCTCTTTCATTTCTCTCTATTTCGAATTCATGATTTACCTTAAAAGTTTCATCGTGTATTAACTCCTTTCCTTCACTCCTTTCTTTCCCATCTTGGCTAAAATACCACTTCCTAAATAAGCCTTCCTGGGCTCCCAATCAAAGGTCACAGCCAACTAACGCTGCCGACGCTCTTCCCCACCTTGTTTTTATTCTTAAACGATAGTATATATCTGCAATGTAGCATCTATATTTGGTATTTTTTTTCTAGATAGTATGTCATGACATCCAGATATATGTTAATCTACCTTTCCCTCTATGATGTAAACTGAGAAAGGCCACAATTATTTTTACTCTTGTCACCGCCATGTTCTCAGAACCTAGAACATGTATTGGCCCTAAAGGAAACGCAAATCAAAATTACACTAAGATTCCATCTCACCTGCATCAGAATGGCAATCATCAAGAGAACAAACAACAACGGATGCTGGCCAGGACGTGGGAGGTATGCGCATATGCTGTGGTGGAAATGGACATTTGTGCAGCCACTAGGGACATCAGTATGGAGGTTCCTTAGAAAAATAATGATAAAAGTGCCAGATAGTCCCAATAAGTCTTCACACAACAGAGATACTTGTATTCTCATGTCTATAAGCCAGTGTTGGTCACTGTAGTCTAAACTATGGAATTAATGGATGAATGGATAAAAGAAATGTGCATGGGTATATACACAATGGAGTATTATTCAGCCATAAAGAATGGAATTGTGTAGAAAAAAATAGTAAAATGGGAAGTTACCATGCTAAGCTGTGGACTCTAGATTGTAAAAAGATGACATAAATCTGAAAGGGGGATTATTTGGAGAGGAATCAGAGGGAAGGAGAAGTAAGGAGAAGATGTTGGGGGTGAGTTAGATTCAATATATTCCATACATCTATGAAAATAGAATAATGAATCACCTCAGTAATGATAAAAAGTGGGAAGATAAGAAAGTAATAGAGGAAGTACTGTAATATGCTCAAAGTATATTATGAACGTGTATGGAGATATCACCATGAGACATCTTTGAACAATTAATATGTTAATAGAAAAGAACACAAAGAGCACGCATTGTTACATAATAGGTGTCATAGTCCATTTGTGTTACCAAATTCTTGATGCAAACAACTTTGGAAGAAAAGAGGTTTGTTTTGGTTCATGCTTCTGGAGGTACAAGGTTGCCATTGATTTGGTGCTGACCTTCTTACTGGCAGAATCCCAAGGGGTCTTGCCATTACAGAACAAGAGAAGGAAACATGTGTGTTTATATGCCAATGGTCGGTTTTTTAGAATGGTAGGACAGGAGCCCCTGGGGTGCTTGGGGTGGCATTCTGGGACCTTTTATGCTCCAGGGGTAGCCTTAGGCAGGTAACTTTTCCCCTTAGCAGTGACCTGTGGGCTCAGAAAGGCTGATACCCATGACGTACCTAGAGAGGGAAGGGGAGGAGTGGAAAGTTGCTCCATAGCACTCACCCTCATGTGCTCAGGATTTAAGAATAGTAATCAAAGCCAGGCACTGGTGGCTTACACCTGTAATCCTAGCTATTCAGGAGGCTGAGATCTGAGGATTATGCTTCAAAACCAGCCTGGACAAGAAAAATCTGTGAGATTCTTATCTCCAGTAAGCCTCCAGGAAACCAGAAATGGTGCTGTGGCTCAAAATGTAGAACCCTAGCCGTGAGCCAAAAGAGCTTGGGGACAACAGGACAATGCTCAGGCTCTGAGATCAAGCCCCACAACAACCCCCTCCCCTAACAACAACAACAAAAAGGAATCGTTCCCTTTCTTTTTCAAGAAGTTAGTCTTAGGTGAGTAAGTGTTTGTGTGTATATGGGTGGGGGGGGTAGGGTACTTGGTATGTGCATAACTGTCTAGCATAGGAATAGGCACAAATTATTTTTGTGAGGTTCTGCAGGTCAAAGCTAGGGCCTTGCATATGTCAGACAAGTGCTCTACCACCACACTATATGCCCAGGTACCAGTACAAATTTATTCTAATGGCAGAGGACACTGGACTCTGTGGACATGTGCTTCCTTTCACTTCAGCACCCACTGCCTCTCTCTCAATCTAGTTTGGCATATGAGAATCTTAGGGAAATTTGGGACCATAATTAAAAGTCTCCGTAGTCAGGGAGACCATAGACTGTCTTACAAGACTTGTTCTGAATCATTTGGCCAAGTCAAACACATAGTACTGGAAGCAGTATGTGTGGATGTGTGATATTTAGCACATAGTTCTGAGAGGTTTCTGGTGATTATTCTCCAGGGCACTACTTCATGGTCTGACCTCATAATACCCCCTTGCACTGAAAGGCCAAGGACATTATCCTCATCAGACTAGGACTAACATAAAGGGGTAGGAGCTGCATGCCTCAGTCTTTGCCTGCCCTGGGATGCACTGCACACTCAGTGCATAGGAAATACTTCTCTTCTAGCCCTTGCAACACTGCTGACCGCTACCCTTTGCTTCCTGTTTGTGTGGGGACATCTGAGAGCTGAAGGTG